ATCAGAAGGCTACAGCACCGGGATGAATTATCCTACATAAATTTTCAAGCAACTGGGGTTCAGATACCAGAGTAACAGAACTGCTGTGGCCATCTTTAGAGTGTATTCCTTATGGCAGATAAATGCATTTTGAATTAAGCTTTACTAAAGCAAAAAAAAAAGTCCCCTTGCTTGATTTCAGTTACATTGAATAGGAGTAATAAATGCAGTGGGAAACTGGCCCACAGCCCGCTTAACTACGACAGGTAAAACAATATACAGGGCTTAATATCTGCCCCTTCACGCTGAGTCAACGGCAGAGTTTTGGCTGACTGTGATAGCAGAGTCAGAGCCCAGGATGGCAGCACAATTTTCACCAACATTAGCACAGAGGAGAGTGCCTGAAAATACAAAACACACCCAAATATCTAATTCCTGCTTCCCTTCAAAAAAAAAAAATCACAACTCAAACTCCCTTTCCCCTAAACATGAACTAGAGCTAAAATCAATTCCCTACCACTTTAATCACACACACGGACACACAGATTTTAGGACAGTGAGCAAAAAAGTGTTATGCTTTTCAAGGTTAGCCCCTTCCCCCCTTAAAAAAGTTCGTGTTTTTCCAGTGTTTGCCCTCACTGTGGTCTCCTGGAGAGAGAAGTGCTCTTCAGGGGGCACGCTGACAGAGGTCACTGCACACCCAGGCCCAGAGGGACGTTGGGGATTTCACCTGGGACGGGCTCTGTCAGCCGGGCAGTGGCTGCAGGACAGACGGGGCTCCCCAGTGCCGCGGGACCCCAGCTGCTCGAGGGGACCTCCCAGCATGGTGTCGGGAGCCCCAGCCCCCCCGGCACGGCTCGGGGAAAGCTGCCGACCCCCCCCGGGCTCCTCACCCCGCGCTGCCTGCCGTCCGGGTCGAAAGGTGACAGCTTACTTTTGGACAGTGCTCTTCTACAGCAGGCTGCTCGGTGTCCCAGCGCCCTGAAAGGTTTGCAGAGTCTTGGCAAGATGGCTAAGTGTTGACACAAGGCAACATGGGATGAAGAAAAAAAAAAAACAAAAAACAAACAACAAACAAACAAACACACAAAGACACAAACAAACAAACAAACAAACAAACAAACAAAAACACCAAAACCCAGAAAATCCCAAACACTAAACCCCCCACAAATAAATAAACAAACAAATTCTGTAGTTTGGCTAAATATGAACAAAATACCATACAGAGCATACTGACAGATTTAAATAAGAGAAAGCAAGAGCAAGAATTCAAGAATTCAGTGTAAGGATGACCTCCAAATGAAGGGGATTAAATCTAGATTGGCAGAAATTACAAAAAATTAAATATACAAAGTATTGACAGATGGATGCTGGTCAGTCACCAGCACTCTGCCACGGCCAGAGCTTTTCAAGCATTGTTACGCTCACAAAACTTTAAGGGATGTTCTGCAGGAGGCAATCCTGCTCTGGCAGTGACCTGAGGCCTGGCGCTGGCACTCTCTCGAAAGGTTTTGCTTTCAGCCACCCATCTGCAGCATCGGAACAATACCTCAGCAGTACCTCCTCCTGTTCCCGCGGTCGCTGCTGCTCCTACTCCAAGGCACGTAGCATCGTGGTGCACATGTTTTGTAACTGGGTCTCCCTGTCTCCATTTCTACAGTCCGTGAGTATGCACAGCTTGTCCACAAGCGCTGCTCTCCAGAATACTGGTTTTCAGTGGGGCTATGCCAACTTGTACCTTCCCTTTGAAGTGACTGTGGGTTTAGTTTGATGGGGGCAGGAGATTGCTCTTCAGAAGGTGTTTTGTTTTTGAAAAAAAAAAAAAAAAAGTATTGATGTTTAACAAAAAAGCAAATCCAAAATCTCAATATTGTGCAAAATTTACCGAAAAAGAGCAAGTCACTATGAATCGCTTAATTACACAAGTGAAAGGGAATGGACAGGAGCCAACACCACTCCGATCTGAATGACACAGAAGAACCTACCAGCTGGTTATAAACAAAAATCAGCATCATGCTCCATTTCAACCAATGAATCTACACCTGACAACACAGTACTGTTTACAGCGGTAACACATCACCCTATAATTCCTAGTTTGGCATTATTCAGGTTAGTCCTCACACCCTCTCTCACAGCAGGGCAGTCATTCAGGCAGGAAAGGTTCACCACTGCCTGCAGAAAGCAGCAAAAGAAACTGGAGGAAGAAAGTAGCAAGAAATTTGAAAGGCATCTAGGGTTCTGTGGCTATTCTTTTCCCTACCAATATTAGTGGTAATAGAGCCTAGACTTACACTGCTAGCCTTGAACATCTCAGCAAAACAGAAGCATTAATTATTTATGACAGGCAGTTTGAGCTATGTACTGAGGAGAGCTGAAGTGTCTATTTTCTGCAGTGGTTTTCTCAGCAAGTCTCTCCCCGATCCCCTGCTAGAACATTGGAAGTGATATTAGCAACAGTGTCTCAGTTCAATACATCATGGTGCCACTGTTTTACAAACCTTTACTAAACTTTGATCAATTTGGTGGTACCGTTCCATCCCAGCAATTTTCTCCACATCATTTGACAGGGCAAATGTTATATTAAACTATTTCAGAGATCAAAGCCAGTGGAGGGAGAGGGGGGGTAAGTTTTTTCCATGTCAAGGTCTGAAGACCTCCAGAGGTCAACCTCCCCTGCACTTCAGAGTGGCAAGCCTGACATCTGATCATGGGGCTTGGGACCAAGGATGTTCCTCCTCCCCCCAGCTTCTACACTACAGCCTGCCCAAGCTATGGTGGCATTTATGAACTCTGTGAGAAGTGCCATGTGTGTCCTTCAGGGTTGGTAGAAATCTGCAACAGATTTGACATCACTAATCCAGTCCTGAGTGGTACTGTTTCATTTCTGCACAAGAATAGATCTTCTCTACAACAGCAGTATGTCTGACCACTGGCAGTAGAAAGACCATATCCCCATTACTCTCACTAATCCTCCTGCTGGATCCACTGATTATATAAAACGCCATAGAGACAATCATTATTTTATATTCTAATTACCTGCATGACAAAGGCCACCAAGTTTCCCCAAATTCCCATTTGGTCTCAGCTCTACAAAGCTAAATCACTCTTAAATATTTTTCAGAGGTCAAGAATTCAAAGCAGCACTTGGTAAATCAGGTCAGTGAGTCTTAAAAGTGCACACCTCATTTTTTTGGCTAAAATTCACCTGACTAGAATCCAAGGATGTCAAACAGGGTGTTTATATCATAAGTAGACATAATTTTTTACTTCTCCTCATTATTCATGACACAGTCCCAAAGCAAATTTACAGCAAGCTTTTAAAAATAGCATTAACAATCCTAGGGGCTGTATTAAGGCCCTAATTAAGATAGTACATGAATGTTTCCTGCTTGCATGTGGGATGACAAATTTAAGCTACACAGTCACAAGACTCCTTAAGGAATTTATTTTCTTAACACCAATTTGGGAAAGATGGTCATCATTCTTTCTTCCATACAAGGTGTCGAGACATCAAGTCAGAAGTATTTTGCTGTCTTGGTGTGACCTGTTAAGCCACATTTAGGACCTGGCTTCCCAGGGGATGTTGTGATTCACAGTGTAACTCCCCTGGCTGCAGCTGCAAACAGTCACCACCTCTGAAAGTGCTCTCCAAGGTGACAAGTGAGGCACTGAGGAAAAGAGGAGTCTTTTCATAAGAGTGCAAAGGCTTTGTTGAGGTGACCTTCCTAGCTTCACGCAGGACCATGTCAGCAGAAGTAAGAGTGAGGTCTGCTTTCCGATGAACGATGTGGCTGCTTCAGCACCAAAACCAACCCTTCATTTGATATTATTGCTCCCTGTCCACTGCTCACCTGGCAACTTCAGTAACAAAACAGAATTAATTTATCGAGCAGTCACCTCTCTTCTTTCCCATAGTTCAGGGTCACCTTCAGAGTAAATCTCTCCTGCACGCTGCAGTCGCAGGGATCACAGCCAGCCTTGAACAGGCCCTTCCCGAGCCCTCTCGTTAGAAACGTCAAGTGCCGGTGCTTCCGAGCGCCCTTGTTGGGGCTGCGAGAGTTCAGCCTGCTGCCAATCAGGCTTGCAGTTTTCTAGGAGCCATAAGCCCAAAAGAAGAGTTGATGAAAGGAAGTCCAAGTAAGAAATAAGGGACTACAATTCTGACCCCAATTTTGTATCATCAGTCCTGAACACAGCTGTTGCTTGAACAGGTTAGCCTTGAGAAACCATGCAAAATACACCACAGCTGAATGGAATATTATCAATAGCCTCTCCCCCCTGCTCACAGCAAGGCAGAAAGACACCTCCAACTTTTCAGTAAGAGTTAAACTTTGATTCAGTTTTCAACTTAGATTACATTTTCCTCCCTTCAGAGGTTAACATACATCAGTGATTTTTTTTTTTTTTTTGCTGGATAAACAGCACAAAGGCTTCTTACTGGAAACAATTGCCACTTAACAAGGTATATCCTAGAAAGCTGTAAACAAGTCCACATTTAACTGAACTGACAACTCATTATTACTGAAAGCAATCATATACTCTCAGTGACCAAAGCTTTCCTGGCAGAGCTCTCTCTCTGGATTTATCATTAACATCTACATCCTAACGCTGCTAAATAATTCAGCACAGCATTTAGCCTTGTGTCCTTGCCTCTCTACCCAGAAACCACTCTCACCATTTACTGTATGTTCCAGCAACAGGGAGGAAAAACGTGCCTGGATCATAGTTCCTTCTTGTGCTACGTAACCAAATGAGAACCTTTGCTCTTGACATAGAAGCACGGGTTTTACATATTTTATTTTGTTGGAAAAAGTGTTTATTAGACACCTAAATATAGAGCGTTATTTATCCACACGGAGTCATGACCATGTGGGCTCAGATTCACATGCAAATTCTCCTTTTAATAATCCTAATGCAGGGAGCGCTCCAATCAGAGCACTATCAGCCCTGGCTCCCGGATACCTGATGCCAGCTTTGCTGGCAATGTAGGCCACCGAAGCAAATCCAGAGAGATTGAGGTGGAAGTGGAGAGAGGCTCTGAGATCTATTTGCTTGGCTTCCTGACGACGACAGGAGGGGGGGTGTCTAACTTCTTCTTTTTTTTTTTCTTTTGCACTGTAAACGGGATATCATTTAAGAGGGATCGTTAGCTGAGAGCAGCCCAGCTGGGTCAAGGCTGGGAGGCGGGGACGCGGTTGCAAGCAGTGAAGAAAGGTGGAGGCACGAAGAGAGAAGACCAGGTTAATGAAAGCATGAGGGGGCTCTTGGGCAGCAGCTGGAGAAAATTTGGACATGCTGACAGGGGAAACTATGACTGGCTAAACAGTGAACCAGGTGGGCCACTTCTGGAAACAGAGCTTCAGGTCTGTACCCCACTGCTCGTCTCTGTGGCATGTCCTTTGACTTTGCATGCGTGTGTATGTCTGTGTAACGCCTCAGTGTGTAGCACAGAGTAAATACCTGGGTATTGAGATGTATCAAAGTAGTACTGCTCAATTACAGAGACACAGCATTTATTTATTGCTGTTGTTTTAAAGACATTTGTGGGGAAAGAAAAACATTAGAAGGAAAAACCTTATTGGGGTGGCAGGTAAAGAAGTTTAATTATTTCTTTTAAACATAATGTGCTCTGCTATTCCGTGATTTCCTTTCCTTTAAGTGCATGTTTATGCTTTGGATCTGGTCCCACGGAGCCTTTCTGCAGATGTTAAGAGTCAGTAGCAGTCAGCAATGAACTCTTGTTCCCTAAGCTGTACACTGATTACTTCTGCAAGAGAGGATCACATGCTGGCAAGTGGGGGGAGGGATGTAGCCCTCGGAGATGAAAACACAGCCCGCCTTTCTGCCTTTGTCTGGGAGACAGCAAAAGGGTCTCTCTGATCAGAAACAATAATTTAAAGTGCTCCTATATCCCCCGTAAATGTCTGAGTCAAGTAGCATTAGCGAATGAACTGGCCACTCTACTTAGCTATCAAGTGTATTATTGTAAAATAAAAAGGGGGTAGGAGTGAAGGGTCAAAACAGGAGAAAAAGTAGTTTTCAAATGTCTCTGCAATTTTAACAAAGTCTAACTCATTAGTAACATTGCCAGAGTTAGAATGACAATGCTAACGTCTTCACACCTTGAGACCGGTTTTGTCTAACAGTGAGAAACAAACAGCATCACCAGAGTCACATTCTGAGAAGTATTTGAAAATCCATTGTAAATCTAGGCTCACTTTAAAATTATGTGTCATAATTAATGTATACAAAACCACATCAAAATGTATTTCTGTTTGCCAGAGTTATATGTTTTCGCTTTAAGAAGTAGGATGGAGCTTGGAAAAGCACCTATGCATGGACCACAGCCTAATGACTTCAAAGCAGACTTTGTTCCAAATCCACTTAAAACATTTCAGAATCAGTTTCCTGATTCACGTTCAAAGGATATTAATATAAATAGGGGTTATATTAATAAAAATAATTTAAATAAAGTTCTGTGTACCCTGGCGAATCATTAACAGCATAATAAATCCTAGCACCAGTGAAACATTCACTTCAATGGGAATTTAAGCCAGCCAAATAAACTTTCATTTTTCTATCCTTACACAAAAGCTTCCTCTAACGTCATGTTTGGCCTTACAAGTTCATTCCCTTCAAAGCCAGGTACTAGGCTTCTTTTGTCTAGACAGAGTTCAATTCTAAACCCATTCCATTACTCATCATGGAAATTCCACACAACTGGGCTGCACGCTGAATTTCATTCCCTTACCAACAGACACCAGTAAAAGCTCATCTAAAGTCATATGGGTCACATAATCTGTAAACTGGCAACTGTACATGTTCAGCATGTTAAAAAAACATAGGCAGACAGATTACTAATGAAAGGCTTTGCTACTTCTAGTCTGTACTCAGTGTTTCGGAAAACTGACCCTCTCCTTCAGTCCCTACAAAGATATAAATTAAAGGAAGAGAATAAACATGAGCCTGCAATGGCCAGACCAACCTACTAAAAATCACTTCTGGGAAAAGAGAGGACTTTTTAGAAACATAATCCATTTTACTCCCATGCCCTTTTCTGCTTTTTTCTTTATAAAGGATATTTTCCCTATATTCACGTGTCTGTAACTTATTTCACACTGGAAGTCAGAGCCTTATTTTTGTCCATTACAAACCTGACAATAGCTGTCTGTGATGACACGGGCAGAGCGCGCTGACCTCCAGTGAAGCAGCAGCAGCAGCAAAACCAAACCAGCCAAGAAAATACTATCAAATAATTCCCTCAGTCACTTCATATATTTGTTTTGGAAACTTTCAGGTATTAAACAGTAGAGGATTTTCCTTTCTGCATGTTTTGCAGTTGATTTATTTGCTTACACTTCCAACTACGGAAGATTCTGTTTCATTTCTAGGTCATTTTATTTTCCAGTTCTAGCAGCTATTTCTGATACCTATACACACTTTCACAGTTTTAGATCTTCAGTTTTAGGAGTTAGTTTTAGTTCAGTTTTGAACTTTAGTTTTAGTTTAGAACGCCAGAGAAATGTTAATCTTTTTTTCTATGTGACCTTTATTTCATTTTATTAAAATTATTTCTATTTTTAGTATATATTTTTTTTATTGGCTATAAGTTTTTCCAAGTCTTTATATCAAGATCTTTGCAACATTCTTCAGCAGCCCCTTAGCCATTTGTCCCAGAAATGGTCACAAAACCACAACAGAAAAACAGGGACTAATAATGCTCAATTGTCTCCCGATACATTTTATATGTATCTGGGTACACCTACAGGAAGTTAAATCAGCCTTTTGTACTACATCTCAATGTAAAATCAGTCCATGTAAAATGTTTGGCAGGAGGCAGTATCAAAATGGACATGTAACTCCCAGTGATTTATGCTTCAGGTTTTGGGCATCTGTGGGGCAGTATTAACTTGTTAAAAACAATTTCAACTCAAATAATACACTAAGTATCCTACAGATTATTTCACCCAAATAGGAAAGCTAAGGCTTAATGTTAGCTGTGTTTAAAAAGCTATGGACACTTTGAAACACAGACTGAGGAAAATTGGTGTTTAATGTCACCTGTTAGCATACATAAAAACCTGCTACCCAATCCTTAATGCTACCTGCTTCACATGCTACTATCTTGCAGCCTGTAGTAAGACATATTGTTCTTTCACAACAGCACGGGACGTGGTATTCACTTCATTACTAGCTATTAAATGTGCTGCTCTCCCCACCTTTCTCAGCATACAGCCCAGTGTCTTATTTACCGCCTCTTCTTCAAACAACAAATTTCTTTTGTTTTGTACACGTTACTCAGTAGATAGTCACTGGGCACCGGTGTAGTTATTCTGGATAGAACAGGACAGAATAGGAGTAGTTCAGTTGGAAGGGACCTACAATGATCATGTAGTCCAGCTGCCTCACCACTTCAAGGAGTACAAGAGGATATGAAGTGTTTCATAATTACCTGTCAGTTTTACCCAGAACTTGTAGTGTAATAAATTAATCACAGGCTCAGGGCACTGCTCTTTCACCTTCAGAGACAGCAACACAGATGCAGAATTTCTGCAGCCCAGACCCAGGGATCTCAACCCAGGCACTCAAAGTGAGATATAACTAACGAATTACCCACAACAAACACCTGGGCTGAACTGTCTTGCTCCCCCTAGAGCATTCAGTAACAGAGACAGGAATTCAGCTCCCCCGGAGAGCATTTGTCATCCCAAACCAGCAGGCAGTCCTCTCTCTTCCCCCAGCCTCCTGACTCAGTCACTACATACTCTTACATATCCTGCAACACATTACCCTGAGATACTGTGGTCTTCCTCCCTAGGCAATCTATCACACCTCTAGAATAGGCACTTTGTACATAATAACATAATTTAAAATTATGTGCTTTGTGGATCAAATTAAGGATTCACTTATTTCTAAAATACTGGCATTTATTCAGCCTTGAGGGCTTGAATTTGAACTTTAGAAGCAATCCTACAGGTTACTTTTGGAGGTCTTTTAAACAAAAAGAGTTTTCAGCCCAGTAACCACACTAACACCCAAACAAATCTAGGTTGTCCTTTTATACCTGTTCCACAGACTGTGGCCATCTGAGCGAGCTCGTTTCTCTTCTTCCATTTTCTTACCATTAGATGCAAATTGGCCCCTCCAACAATAATACATTTTACATATTTCTGTTGCTGGGTATTTATTTGAAAGGCCCGAGACTGATGCGTTACAGTTAAGGCTTTGGAGCAAAGTATTCCCCCGAGACCCAAGGCCATTTGTTCATTCCTTCCATCAAACTTAACTTTTCCTTCCCCTGCCTCACAGTTTCTCACTAGCCCTTTCCTTTTTCTTCTTCTGCAAGGAGAATAGGACTGGTGCAGTGAGATAGGAGCCCCACCATATGTTCCTCAGACACCCCTTCTCAGTCCTATCCAATCCTACTGCCCCACTCTCAGTTCCCTTTTGGCTTTCCTCCCTGCAGCTTTGCAGCTTGCGCACCCTCCTCACAAGCCAAGGTTCTCCATCCACACTGCTGCACAATTCTGGCCCGCACCCTTTTCTACTCTGCCCTCCCCTGACGAGTCCACAGCTCCTCACATCGGGAACATCAGTTCTCACCCTGTGATTCACCCACACATCCAACCCCCCAGTCCCGCTCCTGTCTCCTTGCCATCCTGTGGACTCTCTGAAATCCAGTCCTCGTATGAGATCATGTCTTATAACAGGACGTGTCAGGCAACCCTAACACTACCCTGTGCTTCCACCAGCATACAAAGGATACGCCACTCTTGGCCGTTATTTAAAACATGGATATGCTTTCAGTGAAATTTTTAGGGAAGTTGCGCTGAGTTTAAAGGTGGGAGAATCAGGGGTTTATATACCTTTTACTAGTTTCATGTAGGAAACCCTGGCAATCTCACCCTCTGTTCTCACAAACAACCACAATAATGTGCAACTCACAGATCCTCAGAACAACACTTAACCTGACTGAAAGCCTGCTCCCTAAAAATTAAACCCTAAACTTACACTTGGATCTCAAAAGCATGCTCTTTGCTGATCATAAATAATGCTGTACATTATATGCTCAGGTCTTCTGAATATTTATTCTAAGTGTATTGATAACAACAGTATCAGTGAGTCTCAATATACATAATGCATAAACATAATAACTGAATGATTTTTCTTATTTTCCTGTGAAGTGTTTTATATACCTCACAAGACATGATAAAAAAGTGTTAACAAACATTTTTTTTTTAAAATCCCCTCTTTTTTAAAAATAGTTTAATATCTGCATTAGAATAATAGCTGAACAGTTTCTTCCAGCTCGGCTGTTTCCTGTAGCTCATTTAATGGTCAGGTAAGATTACATCTCGTTCTGCCAAAACCTCTTTAATAAGAAATGATCAGTAAATACAAAATAGTTCCTTAGTATGCATTTTTTTGGTAAAAGATAACTGCGGAAAATCCACAAAAGTTTCAATGTATTTTAAAATTAATTTGATGTGTTTGGCTTCAGACCCATAATATCTCAGGGAAAAAGAAAAAAGCAGAAATCTCCCCCACACTATTTGTTAGAAGTCAAAGCCTATTTACTTCCTTTTATTAGGCATGACCACATACTAAGAATTTCATAATACAGCAACCAAGCGGAGAGGTAACAAACTCCTGGTAGATAACCAGTTGAATGTAGGTTACTGTGTGATTTTCTAGCTGGAATAATGACTGTGATTCTTTGAAGAATAAGTAGAGAAAGTTTTCATAGACTAAGAAGGGGGCTCTGGAGTTACTGGCCCTTTTCACAGAGCCAGTACTGCACACAGCCCATTTGCATCCCTGTTTCCAAATGCTTTGAGGAAAGAACCACTAGAGTTCTCCTAGCTTGAAAATCTGCCTTCGTTCAAAATAAAGGAAATCTGATCCACTGACCTATTTACTCACGCCATAAACATGTGAAAAAGCCATCTGATTACAGTCTTCAAGTACTTACAAAGGGAATGAGTTGATAAGAAACAACATTTTAGCGTTTGGGTTCCCCCTCCTCCCCTCTAGACTACACTCTGAATGAGATCCAGTTATTTGAAGCTAGCGTTAGATAGAGTTAGACTGGAAATAAGGTATATTAAATTGTAAAAGTGAAGCTAATGCAACAGAGGAGCAAAATGTTATTAAAAAAAAAAGCTTATAACTCTACCTCACAATGCAAAATCTATGGGACCGAGGTCATATGTGCTACATTTTGCAGGAGATGATGCTGACACAGCAGTCACAGCCACTATTACTCTTACACCAGAAATTATTTTTCCACAGTTTTAAACAGAAAAATTATTCTTGGGTAGCTGGCAGAACAAGCTCAAGAAAGAGACCCAGTCCAGACTGCCCTGACACACCGTGTTTTATTAGGGGCTGGTCTGTAAGGTTAGAACAGCCCAAAGAACAGGTATTGTAGGCGGTGGGTCCTGATGAAAGGGATAGGCTGTCTTAATATGTGTTCTTTAAAGTAAGCAGTACAGTTTTCCAAATAGAAAGAACCAACACTAGGTGGTGGATCACCAGCCCTATTACTCTGCAATTTGGTGTTCTCCCAGGTTTTAAAATCTTGACCAATCTCCCGCAAAGGGGATGGGTCTGCATGTAATCCAGGAGTAATAAAATCTCATAGCAAAATACATACAGCTCCAGGTTACTGGGGTTTTTCCTCCCATTGGAGACAGGGTTTCCTAGAAACCCATCACTTTTCAACGTCTCCATTTTTTTCATCTCTAGTTGTCATTTGTTTTAATGGACCAACAACTTTGACAGTTCATGAGTCTGTGAAACATATTGCTTGAATGCCACTAATGCAGACAGAAAGTAATCTGGAAAAGCAACTGCTACATCATGAGAGGGGGGGAACAGGGATGGAAAATGTATTTTTTTTTTTTTTTCTCCAATTAAGAGGTCTTCAGGAATCCAACACACTACCTATTTGCTTTGGTTACAGAGCAGACAGCAGACAAGTTCAACCAAAGATGACATAGAACCATTTCTGTGCATCATATTGCCTGCCACCATGATGCTCTTCCTGGCATTCCTGCTGCTCTTCCTGTACCGTCGTTGCCAGCGCCCTGCTCCGCAGGGACAGATCTTCAGCATCGACCTCCCCGAGGCCCTGCCTGAGCACGATGTGTCCAATTTCCTTTCTGTGCTGCCCTGGAACAGCGAACAGAGTTTTCACTACTCCACTCTGCTCCCCGATGCCACATTCCTCACTGTGTGTTTGCCTCCATCCTACGAGGAGGCCACCACAAAGACTTCCATGGATGAGGCTCACACTGAGCTCTCTCCAGATCCAGTGCCTCCTTACGAAGAGAGCACGTTGCAGTCCAGCAGTGCCAAATAAACTTCCTACAGAAACACCTTAGCTGAAACATGCAGCCCCTCAAGGCACAAACGTGGAACTGCTATGGCCTTTAAAATTAGTGACAAGATTCCAAATGAGGCGCCAAACCAATGAATTAACGAAGGAAGAAACTTGGAGTGACAGGGAATGAGTCTTTTCAACTCATCCTAGGATTCTCTACCTTCCATTTGTGGCAAGCGTACACACAGTGTAGCACCACATCTGTCCCAGACTGATAACACAGGTATTCCAGTTAACAAAGCATGTCATGCAAGGATTAAATTTAAGGAGGGGTAGGAATCTGTCCTTCTGCAATCCCTCATCTACAAGGAAACATGAATTACGCTACACATTCGCTAGTCACAAACAGGGCTTTTAGCACATACCTATTACAGTTTGGCTTTTTCTTTGTTACATGTTTATTTTTAATTGAGTTTCTGACAAGCTGATTCACTCCTTCTGTGTGTATTAACATCACATTGGTCTACAGTGCTCTGCAAATATCACAACAGCTCTCAGGAAAGCAAATAAATATATAACATTATTTTTGTTTAAACCTGATTAAGATTATGAGTTATTAAATATTAATGTCTGCTAATACATATGTAAAGTCTTACAAGTTGTGAACTCACTATGATGTGAAGGATAATTGTATTTCAGTTTTCCATTAAGAAACTATTAACAACCATGATGAGATTAAGTACATGTATACAACCTTTTGTTTATACTTAGTAAGAAACTATGGAACAACACAAGCCCCCTCTTATTAAGGAGGCTTTCAAAAGCTTAGAGGGCAATCTCTGTGCTTGTCCTCTGTGTCAGAGCTGCCAGAGTCCCTTACTGATGCAGGTCCATTTTTCTGGAGACTAAGATGCATCTACTTCTCACACACATGCAAGTTTCTTGCCCAAAAGACATCTAAAGGGAAACAACACATGTGGTTTACACAAAATGTCTCTACTAAATATCCATGGAAAGTATGTAGTACATATCTCCAGTATGAGATACAGTGGTTTAATATTAATAGAATATCCTGTCTCTCTTCTCTTACCTGAAGGAAGAAAAGATGACCCAGCTCTTTGCAACCACAGTAGGAGCTCAGAAACAAACATCTTGGGAAAATATTGATTCATGCTTATACACAGATTGAGCATCTGGCACTTAATCTTTGCTGAGCTGAAAATTGACTCATGACTCACTGTTTTGTACTTGCCAATGATAAAATATGTTTTCAAAACAGGATCGTCCTTGCTTGGTCTTATGAAGTAACCAGCTTCCACCCTTTGTCTAGAAAAGGAAGAACAAGCGCACATATTTCACTGAAGAGAGATGTTTATCTGTAACAAAAATCCTGACTAGAAATTTAGATCCTAGCTTCACTGAAGTGGAATAATTAAAAAAAAAAAAAAAAAAAAAAAAAAAGAAACAAACCTTGACATCAAGTCAGAATGTCTTTATGATAGTTCAGTAATACCACAGTGGCCAAAACAGAACTGCCACCAAAATAAAACATTTGGTTTAATTTATGCTTACAAGGATTTTACTTGGGTCCCTATGCCAGCAAAGCCTCCAACTACAGACACACAACTACTTTTGCCAGTACAATCTCCACTAGCATGAACTATATATGCCCTGATAGTAAAACAACTCTTAAAAATGCAAGTTTTATCTATATGGGAAGTTGAGCCAGCAGTCTTATTCTGGCTCAGAGTATAATTTTATTTTATTTTTATATTTTTTTACAAACTTCTAAGGAGGAAAAGGCACAAAAACACCAAATAAGAATGAGCTGAATGCTTATGGTAAATAAATTATTCACTGATACCTCTTTTAATAACTGTCCATAAGTGAAACTGTTAGGAATTTTTAATCACAGAATTTATTAATTTCAGTCTAATTGTTAGTAAATAATCATGTTATGTCATGACTTTTGTTATACAGTAGTTCTTTTCATTATTTGGATAACCAGGTTTCCTGCAGAACAGGAAAGGCATGTGAGTATGGAGCATAAGGGAGATGTCCTTTGTAAAAAACACAGCATACTGTTCTCAAGGATATAGCTAGCAATGGTACAGCTAATAAATCAATGCCGCAGAAGCATAGATGTCAATCAAGACAACAAAAACTCATTGAAAACTCTTGGTAAAAACTCTTGTATACTTGACTAAGCTGACAGTGTAAATGCCCATTTGCACTCTCACAAGCTTTCTGTTAAAAAGTTAAGTAAAAAGAATCCCAATGACTTTCACATTTGTTGAGGGTGTGAAAGAATCAAACTTGTCTATGACTTTGGCTCCACCAATAGTTTTACTTCTGACTATTCACAAAAATGTAATGTCTAAGAGAGTTTATTGTCAGAAAATAAGTATAAGGAAGAAGCAGCCATCAAGACTTTAATACCCAGAATTTCAAACAATTCATGCCATTTATAGCATGTTATCTTCTCCAGCCCGTTCCATATTAATTTGTTCCTACAAAGTCAGGATGTGTTGGTTTTTTTCTTGAATGCTTATCTTATAACTTTTGAAACATTTCCATCTATGACAAAATAAATACTTCAAAGCAGAAGAGCATGTACAGGCAATCCTTTCCGGTCATGTCAAGCCCATTCATAGGATTCAAGGTCTAAGTTTTATTTTGTAGGGTGTTTTGGTTTGTTGTTTTTTTTGGTTTGTTTTGTTTTGGTTTTTTTTTTTTTGTTTTTTGTTTTTGTTTTTTTTTTTTTTTTCCCCCAGATTCAAACCAAGAGAACCGAATGCATGTTTTTTAGTTCTTTGAGTGCAAATGAACTGAATGCCTTTACTTGACTTCCATGCACAGAGCGCGGGAAGCTGTCCCTTCTTATTGCCGGAAGAGAAGGGAGGGAGAGCTGCTGCGTGGTGGTGGTCTGCCCACCCGGCCCAAACCACCACACAGACTGACCCACGGCCATAGACAGGAAAACTAAGTACCATGTGTTATGTCCCACTCCTAATACTGAGTACCTGGTTTTCATTATAAAGTGCTTTGCATGAAACCAGTTTCCACTACAGGTTAAACAGACAAATTCAAGCATATTTCTACAAACACATTTCACTGCCTGTGTAGACAACAACATGACAAATTATTTAAGCAGGGCCATTAAAACCCTCAGTATGTCTTTTAGTTCTGTAGCATTTGTCCTTTTTCTTTTTCTTCCAGTTTGGAAAACATGCAGTTGACACCACGCTCAGGTGTTAGTGTGGCCTCAAGTTTCTTCAGAAAGACTGCACATCTATGTTTTAGGCAAAAATAAACCTGAAGGTAATTAGCTTGCTTATAAACCCTATCTTCAATTAATACTCACCCTCTTTACTGGCAAGTACAGCTTTCCTCTGTCAGTGATGCAGAATCCAAATGTTTCTATAAATTGCTAGTTTCTAGTGTAGTCCGCATAGCAAGAAAACATTGTGGTCATCTGAAACAGGAAAATGCTGCTGTCGTATGCAATGAAAGGACAAAGAACTAAAACGCAGATCCATTACTGAAATCCTTATAGTATTTGGCTCTAACAAGAAGATCAAAGCATAGGACATTAGTATGGAGGCAGATGAAGCAAAGTAAGTACACTCCTGTCTAGCACAATTCTGAGACCTTCACAGAGGCTCTTTTACAAAACATTACCAGAAATCGCCAGCTGGAGCTGGAGCACTGCGTTACACAAGTGACTAGCATGGTTTCCCTGACCGAAGACTGGTGGGATGGTCCTTAGGTGTTGACATCAATAGGCCATGCTCCACTGTGAGGTTCTGCACATCTCCCACGCTTCTGTGCTCCCCTTCAGCAGCCCCAGTCCTGTCACATACAGCAGTCGCAAGTTAACACACTGGTAACATCTAGACCTGTGTGCCAGTGGTGATGGTAGGCTCTATAAACCAGGCACTGAGTAAATTTATGCTTTGCAGGTCATCCTTAAGTCAGAGGGCTTATTTTCTGATCTATTATTCTTTACCTAGCTTATGCATACCATATTTTAAATATAACATCTAATAGAAATTTTAAAGGTAACAGGCAATGTATACTATAAGCATGAAGTATGCCTGGATACTATATCCAAGAGCCCCACATGAACAGCTTGCCCTCATTAGCTAACTTTACCTCAAACAATTAACACATCCTTTTAGACCTATGAAGTAATAAAAATATATTGGCAGCTATCTGGACTCCTTCCAAGTGCCCCCATCAGCCAACTAACCACACAGTTGTCAGGGACATTTAGGATTTTGATTTGTCCAGTTTTATTTACTACCAGATCTTCAGTTTTACCTGGGACTGTTACAAAGTATTTACACCAAGTGTACTGATTTCCAATAAATACAATTTTCTAGCTTTGTTAGAAGATAAAGACTACTGCTGAATGGCTTGTATTTAGAGTGATAATACTCATTTTGAAAAGCTGAAAACAGTTTTTCACAAGAATGACAGCCTGCTTGCCTGGCACAAATTGTGCTGTGCGTATCTCCTGGTCCCCAGAAGAGGAGAGCACCCTGGCTCCATTAGGTACCTTGCCATCATGTTTAAAGGTGCAAACACTGAGATTAAATTCCCACTTTCTCAAAGACAGCATGAGAGCAAACTGCCAAAGCCACCCAGGAGCTCCAGGGATGCTCCACAGGAATACTGAATCAAGCAGCAGCTTCATCTAAAGACCCAAGTGACAGTTCCATAGCACTATATTGAACTATTAAGTGTCTGGTAAATCAGCATAGTTGTCAATATTTAATACCAGATATTCCGCTCTGAGTAGACTAGCACTTACTAATTTTCATCTTGGTTTCCCTCAGTAAGTGCTGCACACAGAGAGGACAGACGGCCTGGCACGCACTTTCCTCAGGGGTGTCCGTGACCTATAGATACCCTAACAAAGAAACAGCCTGAGGAGGTAGAACGCCTTACAGGCAGCAAAAGGAGAGTAATGAATGTGTAGGAGGACCAGGAGTGTTTTCCACAACACCAAGGTGAGAGCTTGGACACCCCAACAGTTTCCTAGAAAGGGTCACCAAGTACCTGCTGAATCATAAAATTTGCTGCACAGCCACAAGGATTGACCAGGACTGATTTTCATTGCCTTAATTCACTAAACACAAAACTGAAGCAATCCAGAAGCAGATTCATAGATCTGGCTTTAGAGAGGGCAGGGAGTCTGTCGCACAGAAAGTCTGGTAACAAGCAAAGATAACACCTACCGCTGTCTGGTTTTAATCCACAGCCTCCATACCCCTGACAGCCAGGGCACCCTTAACCTAGCTGTTTGTTGGTTGAATCAAGGACACAGAAGCTGATGGTTAGTCATAGTCCTTTTGCTTAAGGACAAGAATGAAAAGAGGTGGCTTTAACACCATGCCCTGTTCACCAGAAGAAGCATTTAACACAGCTCCTTCTAAATTTGTTTTCCCGTTTCTTCCTCTTGAAGGTCTTGAAGTATCGCATCCTCTAGTTCCACTGCTCACACCACTTGCAAAGTTGTAACGTCAGATTAAATGCAATTTGTACTTAAGAACAGACATTGATAGGACAATTCTTATACTATTTAAAGCA